AAAATATGAATAAAAACATTTTATACTGACTACTATAAATACAAGTATAGTAAATAGAGACTGGAAACTGTATGAGGCTATCTATTGCCAACATGCCTATATATACTGTACATATTTTACCAGTTGTTGCCTCCTATGGGACTTTACATGGCAAACTAAATAAAACTGTATATTTTACTGTATAGAGTTTAAAATACATTTACATAAAAACCACAATCTTAGTTTTGCATCTTTCATATAGTTGCAATATCCATTCAGAGCTGGCGGGGATTAATTACATGAATGAACAATGCACATAATACAAGAATTTCTTCACAGGGTATTCTCCAGCCACAAAAATCCAATGCATTTCAATTTGTTTCTTTTGATAACTCTTCAGGGAGAGGTTTGCCAATATATTAGATGTGTTACAACAAAAAAATCAGCCAAAAAGCTTTAAAAACAGGATGCCTCAACTCCAGGCCTCTGGACCTTTAGCAGCCATCAGGGACAGTGTGTGTGCAAACAGGGGACCACAGATATGCCCCAAGTTGGTCCAGGAAACAGCCATCTGAGCAACATCAAATAGATTCCAAAATCCCTGCAGTCAATTGCCACCGATGAGCATGTCCTCCAGCAATTCCTCTAAAGAGTTCGCCCTTGAGGAATATTGCTGGAACACATCTAATAGATTGGCAAACCCTTCCCTGAAGAAGATTGGCAAAAGGAACAGATTGAAACACATTGGATTTTTATTGGCTGGAGAATACCCAGTCAAGAAGTTCTTGTATTGGGTGCATTGTAATATGCATGTAATTAATCCACGCCAGCTGTGTATGGCTATTGCAACTATATGAAAGATGTATTAAAAATTATAAAGTGTAAAAATACTAGAAACAATAATTAAACAAATACATAAACTCAGCACAACTAACATACAATGTATATAATAGTGAAAAAAGTGCAATATAAAATCAAAAACAAAAGTAAATAAAATGAATCAATAAAAAAATGACTAGATCAATAATTAGATGAATATATAATGGTGAAAACAGTGCAATATTCAATAAATAGTGACTAGATAAATAAATAGAAGAAGATATAATGAATACCAGGACAGTGGAAGATTTAAAGGGGACGTATATCGCTCTATATCCTGACCATTCAGATTGCTATGGTATATTGCTTCACCTAGTGGGTTATCCTGACAAGCTGGTCATTCAAATTGTGAACACGTGTTGACCTCTTTTATATAGCTCAGTTATTAAGGTGAGGACGCATTTTATGTGGTGGAGGTGCACCGATTGGATTTGAATCACTGGTGTTCACTGGACCAAGCAGAGTGTAGAACACAGAGGATTGCTGTGGCCTTTTTTTGGACTTTTTACCTTGTGCATTATGGATCACTTTTAGTTATTTATCGATCTATTCACTTGCAATCATTGGATTATTTACTCTATTGCTATTTTATTGCACGTTAGCAATTTTGTGGGTTACTGGTGCTGTCAGGTGTTTACTAGAGTGCTTTATGCACTCAGTACCACGTTTATCATATTAGATTTATTTATATGCTGGAGTTGTGATGGGGGGATTTGTTATATTTTAATTCGTTGTATATTCATCTATTTATTTATATAGTCTTATTTATTGATTCATTTTATTTACTTTTGTTTTTCATTTTATATTGCACTTTTTCACTATCATATATATTGTATGTTAGTTGGGCTGAGTTTATGTATTTATTTATTGGTTCTAGTATTTTTTACACTGGGGCAGTTCTACACTTTATAATTTTTATTGTTTGATATCTATCATGTGAGGATATATGTTGGTGTTTGCAGCAGCCCCTGCCGTCTATTTGTTTATTTATTTATTTATTTATAGTGTTATTTGGCAGCACCTCCAGGTTTTTTGAGTTTGTGATGAAAGATGTATTGCCCTGAAAAGATTATGAATTTCATGTAAATTTATTTTAAATTGAAAACAACAAAATACAGTGGGGCTGATTTTCTAAAACTGGAGAGGGCAAAATCTAGTGCAGCTGTACATTGTAGCCAATCAGCTTCTAACTTCAGCTTCTTCATTTAAGCTTTGACAAAAAAATTTTTGGAAGCTGATTGAATTCAATGAAGAGCTGCACCAGACTGTGTACCCTCCAATTTTAGTAAGTCAACCCCACTCTGTTTTATATATTTTGTTTATTTGCCATATAAAGTCCTATGGGAGGCAACAATTTTTACAATATAATTACAAGTATTAAACCACATGCTGTAATGTTTTGATAGTGGTACTTTAAGTAAAGGAAGGAGCAGGATTGTGTTATTTCATATTTATTACATCTAGATCTAGTTCTCTTTATAAATTCTCTTTTCTGACATAAAGTTTACTTATGTAGGATAATGCAACTTTGATTCCAGCAAAGGTGTTTAGTGCTCAGAAATCAGACTCTGGACACATTTTCAGTCTGATTATTCAATATCTGTACAATCTACTTTGGGTTTACTTACCACTATGTAGTGTTAGTGGCCTACTTTAGCATTCCTTTCAAATTATATTCAGTCAGGTAGGTCCTTGCACTAGTTGCTGGCATCTCTGAAGGAGATTATACAATCAGATTGTAACATATGTGAGCAACATAAAGTGCAACTTTAGCCAAACTTACTTCTCTTTTTTTTTGCCTTGCTGTCACAGGGACAGAACATAAATTTTGGCTGGAGTTGGGCTATTATGTTACCCAGTAGTGTGGGATTAATGTTTGATTCAGCAGTGAAGCAAAAATGTCTGGCATTATTAATGTGGAAAAAATGTTTTTCCTCTTCTCTGCTTATTTTCCCATTTTAATACCATAGTGCAGATACTTTTTCCACAGAGCTTTAGAGAACATTGAGCCACTGACATCATTCCCTCTAGGGACTTACAGTCTGATGTCACAAATTTGTGATCTGGCCTTACCAATTAAAACAACCGATTCACTAAGCTTTATCGTATGTGATAAGAAATAATCACATATTTTTGTTTTACTGGGTTAGGCTTGGAGGAAAACAAATAATCTCCTTGGTCTAGTATTGGTCTTGCACTAGAGCTGTCATATTTGTTGTTTTAATAACATGTCTGGTGCTCAGCTTAAAGGACCTCTTCAGTGCTATGTGGTCTGCTACTGAATACACGTTAACGTGTGATATTTTGCATGTTGACCATTAGAAGTTTTTTCAGTGTGGCCCACTACAACTCATGGCATGTGTGTTATGGTGCACTGCCATGTGGGTTCTAATGTATGTACCTACTGTTCTGAATAAATGACACAGAACACATCACTATAAGTGCTGACTGTGGCAATGAAACACAGTAAATTGTCTGTATTACTGCAATGCATGAGTCTAAAGTAGCTTTTAAACTTCCCTGTCAGAGACCTTGTGACTCTATGCACTGCTGTATTCCCAAAACTGTAACGGACGTTTGTGCTGTACATTACTCTCAATTACTACATTATTATTGTCACTACCCAGTCACAGCATTAGGTTCTTCAGAAACATGGTTGTTAAATTAGGTTTGTGAACTGTTTTTCTGGTTCACATATGCAGTGGCTGCATACATATTTGCTTTCAAACTGCACAGCTGGAGTTACTAGGTATACACTGATTTCAGGTATTTTGCTATTTTAGTGCATGTGTTGAAAAGCACAACAAAATAAACTACACGTCTGATAAACGCTTACAAATTTGGCGAGAAGATTCTCTTGTCTGTGGTTACCAGGTTTATTACCTGTTCATAGATTATTCAGATTATAAAATAAAACAAACATCTGATGGTTGTTATCAGCTTAGTTGTCCTTTAAAAAATGTTTTTTATTTTGTAATACAGCTTATCTCGAAGTCAGCTGTAATAGTTTGAAAAAAAATGATATTTTTATGTACTGTATAGGTGTCCTAAAAGTCTAATTCTACTAACATCTAATCTAGTGCATGCCAATGTTGTTCAAAACAATAGACCATTAATTACAGAAGTGGTTTTATGAAACTGTGACAAACATAATTTAAAGTGTACATGTAACCCAGTGCTCTGCTTCCAAACTGCCACTTCTGACTAGTAGCTGGTAGTGTTAGGCTTGTTTCAGAGAGCCTTCAGGTGGGTACAAAACTGCTTTATTAGGCAAACGTCAGCTAGGAACTTGGACCTTGGGCTGCAACCTTCCATGCCTCCATATTGGACATCACTACGACAGGCAGCCTCACTGACAATCAGCGAGGAACAGAAGTCAGAATGGGTAAAGCCTAGCTGAATTTGAAATTTGCATAATATCGCTCACATGTTAAAGCTTCTGGAGTGCTCTAAAAAAAATGAAGTTAACTGAATCCCCATCTTGGAGGTGCCTGTTATTGGATGCACGTGGCATGTTGGGAGCTTTAACTTAAATCAAGGTTTTCTTCAGTTTTTGAGACAATGCCTTTCATACGACAACACCAGTAAATATAGTCAGTGTATTGTTATATTGTTCCATGTCACACACTTACAATCTTTTATTCTTTTTTAGAATTTTGTGCATAATTGTTCTTATGTTCTGATTGGGAATGGTGTTTTAATGTAACTGAAAGTGACTGTTCACCTGCGTTGTATAAAGGTGCTGTAAAATAATACTAGAACGGCCAATAAATGTATCTAGATGACTGATGTGCAGTGCTTTTGTGATTATAGAAAGTGCAAAGGTTCTGTTTTCATGTTTAGCGTCAGTTGCAGTTCCCTCTGGCAGTGAAGATTAGATTGTTAAATGAGTTACTCCTGTACCAAACAACCTGCTGTCTTTTGATCTAATCTTCCTCCTCTTCTTTCTCTTTCTCTTCCATTTCCGTTGATTTTATATTGTGTTTCTACTTACATCTTTTAATTCTCTTCTATAGTCTTCATTTTCCACTTCTCCTTTTCTAACCCTCTTATTATATCTGTCTTATTCTGCCTGTGCATGGCTGAGGTTTTAGTGCAGTGTCCTGTTCCCCATTTTGTCTTTTGGATATGCCCACGGGATTAAGATGCGAGAGAAGCTGGAGCAGCAGAGGATGGAAATGCAGAGTGTTCAGCTTTCACATCATGATCTGCAGAGGCAACTCCATAATTGCCCCGAAGCTCTAAGGGAGCAGGTGCAGTGCCAGCTTACAAGGGTCAGTGTGCCAATCAATAGTGGGCCCTATCTGGCACAACTTTCTGCCTCATATCTCCATTCTTCTTTATTATACAAGTGCCTTGCCTCCTCATTCAGCTTGGCTATACTGTATGTCTGTACCATGTGTTATATTGTACACTGTGCATGTTTTTTGTTGCTCTTACCTGCACATCCTCTGCATAGTTTTCTTTACTCCTCTGGCTCTGCTAGTCATTGCTTTCTGTTTATCAGTATGTGCATATTCCAAGTCATCACTTTCTATCCTATATGATCATAATTACTTACTCATGTACATATCATTTCTCACTTTAATTGCTTGCAAGCATGCATGCTATGAACTAGATTCGGATTTGGCATCACCTTCTGAGCAGCTGAAGCAAAATGCTCCAGGGCACCTGAATACCTACTACATAGTCTTCAATGTGGAAATAAACCTTCCAAACCTGTAACAAAAATAAACAGATATTATTACTACAATAGAACCTTTATTAAAGGATAAGTTCACCTTTTGTAACATGTTACACCCATATTCAAAGTGTAACATGTGATGAATGGACCAGCTCCCGCACCCCTGATCCCCCCGCGCTAGCAGGCAAGATGTAAAAAAAACACAGCCGTGCGGTGCTCCGCCTGCCCGGCCACGTCACTCATTCACAGTGTTCTGTGAATGAGAACACTACAAGTTCTGACAGCCTTTGTGGATGTCGGCTTGTAGTTCTCAGTGAACTACCATGGTGCTGTGGAGCGCCGTGGTAGTTCACTGAGTTTTCCTGTCAGTAAGTACAGGCAAGCAGATACACTGACAGGTCTGCAGGAGACCTGCATGGCACCAACGATCTGCTGATCTCTGGTACAATGCTTTAGAGGCTCCAGAAACAAAAAATAATAAATGCACATTTTTTACCTGCCAAAAAAAGTGCATTTATTTTTTGTTAAAAGGTGAACATATCCTTTAAGGTATCTTTCCAGCGAATCAGCTGCATTCAGCATAAACAGTTTAACACATATTTGGCATCATCAAGCTGGAGCATTATATGCCAGAGTCAATTCTTTAAAACTTTTTTTGTTAAATATTACAGCTAAGGCTTTTCATAGATGGAATAATTTTCATCCAATCCAGTGAATATCTGACTAAACATTAAGGTGAAAATTACTTTAAAAATTTTAATGATGCTTAAAAACTGCAAAAGTTCAGCTATCCATTTTGATTTAGTTGAATTTACACATACAGATGTCACAGCAACACCACTTTGCCAGCCCATACATGCTTCATTTTTCATTCAACCTGCTGGTGAAATGAAAAAATGACCCCAGTCCTCCATCCACACATTCAAGGTGGATGGGGGAATCCCTCCTGCTGAGCTACTGTGTTTTGACAGCTGGGAGACTTCCCCACCATCAGAACACACTGATCAGTGCTGCTGGCTATAGCCTGCTGCACTAATTGATTGAGAAAAACCTGACAGGATGGTTTTACACAAGTCAATCAATAGATGAATTTTTGTACAACCATACATGGATCAAAACTGGGCCAGTCCCTGCTGAACAGGCCAAATTTCAATCCACGCATTGCCAGCTTTTGTAGAGTTGATTGCATTGATAAGCTTTTGTTTACCAAGACTGATTTTCTGTTGGAAAATCAGGAGACTTAAAACTCGCCACTTTATTGTTTCCTTTGGACTGGACAAAAAAATGTAGTTGTAAATATTATCATTGACGGATTTATAGTCGATCTGGAGGTATATTGATTGAGTTCAGCAGCCTCCCATGGCAAATGCAAAGGAAATGTCTGGTACTAGCATTGGTCTAGGAGCTTGCTGCTAAGTCCTGTTCCTTCACATTCCCATTGACCCATTATGATGGGCAGCCATGAGGGCCAATAGGAATGCAGAGGTGGTAGAAAGGGGTGAGCATGATTTGATAATATTAGGAAATGTCCAAAATCATGGAAAAGGCCTAACATTTGGCCTTAACAGGAGGGTTTGGGAGCCTGCAGCAGGTATTTGTACTTCTTGGGGCTTGCACTGTATGTTCTTGGGGCTTGCACAGCTTGCCCCCCCCCCCCCACCCCTTCTTCCCAGTGACAGAGTCTCTTTTATAAATATTATAAAGTCTTCAGTTAGTCTTTCTGGTTTCTTTTGCTGCCAACACTGCCATGTTCACCCCTGGTGGCCATGTTTTGAGCTCGGCACTCCTCTTTGTACACACACTCTTTACCAGACCTACCTATGGTTGAGGTTCATCCAGTAGGAGTAAGTGCATGTGTATGTTGACTGATACCTACTGCTAACACTGACTAACCTAGAAATGATAAACTACTTTGGTTATTGCTTGTCTTACGAATGCCCATTTACATTTGTACCAGCCATAATTTAAACTAGTCTTTTTTTTTCCAGACAATAATTAGGCATAATTGGAAGTGTTATAGTAAAATAATAATGAAAGATAAAACCAATTGATCTAAATGCTGGTCATATCCGCTGAACCCCTGAACTTTGCAGAATGAATTTGAAAACTAATTGGTATAACACTGGTATGAAAAATGTTAATTAAAAAAATGACAGTCTGATCTGTTAAAAAAAAACACTCCATACATCAATATTGGAAGGGTATTTGGTGCAAAGTTGAACCGAAATTTGTATTCAGTTCTAATTGAATATTGTACATTGTTCTGGTCACTTGCATATGAGGTTTTGAGCATTTTGCCATATAAATGTCAGTGCCAAGTTTTATACAGTTAAATACAAGGATGGCTGTTATGCTTGTGTGATTAATTGTTTTTATTTGTAATACAAAACTGACTTGTATTGGAAAGCCCCCAAATTAAAAAGTTTGTGTGGAATTGGGTACACAAGCAAACCTAAACCAAAGGCCTTAAAACTATATTCTGATATATTAGCTCTGCTTTTTATTTATTGTGCATTTTAACCATGTATACATTTATTTTAATAAACGGGCACAACATCCACCTTGTACTATGGATAGTAGATTTCTTTGTGGTGGCAGCAGTTTCAGATTCTTGGCTAATAGATCTCTGTTTTCTGTTGTTGCTTTTGGGGTATTTTGGGGCTTTTTGGTGTTTTTGTGACTTTTTTGTTCAGGCTGATTTGATTTGTTATGCTTTTATAGCTCTTAAAATGATTCACGTTGTTTATTTTTTACTTGTCTAGTCAGCATCTGTTTTTTGATCTGTCTCTCATTGTTCTGTTTATTTATAATGTATTGTCTTCTCTTGTATTGAATGATGTCAAATATTATTTTGACTTCATTCAGGAATCTGATCGTCTAGAATCCCAGATGAAGCTATTTGAAGATCTAGAGTTCCAGCAGCTGGAGAATGAGAGCCGTTTGGAAGAGGAGAGAGAAACAGCAAGTCAGCAACTATTACAGAACAAGGGAGAGTGCCAAAAGAGAATTGCTCATAGAAAGGTAGGAGTGTTTGTATATAGCGGAGGTATTGAATAAAAATTTATGGAGGTCTGATCAGTAACATTTTTTCCAGCAGAGATCCAAATCGTATGTTTGTGCAAAGACTTCTTTACATCATAGGACCCCCCCCTTTTATCATAATTCCATTTTTAAATCAGTGTCCTTAGTCCTCCACAGATCATAGTCCCCCACTTCACCTCACAGTTTTCTCTTCAGTGTTCTCAGGCCCCCATCACCCTGACCCCCTCGACAGTAGAGTACTGAATCCCCTTTACATAACACACCCCCTTTATTCACAGTAGTGTCCTCACCCCCCTTTCAAATCATCACCCCCTCCCCCATAATACTGTGCACTGCCCCCTTCACATCAATTCCCTGAACCCCCAGACATATACACGCAGCACTGCCCCCTTCACATCCCCAAACCCCCCTCACATCACAATTATACCCCCCAGAGTAGTGTGCTATGCCTTTTTCACATCACCCCCCTTCACATCACCTGTTCCTCCCAGAGCACTCTCCCATCCACACCACCCACTTCCCCTTCACATCACCAAACCCTCACAGCATGCCTGTACATCACCCACAAATCACAAATATCCTCCCCCCAGTAGTGTTCTCTTCCCTCTTCACTTCGCCCCCCTACAGCACTGCCCCCTCTCACGTCACAAGCCCCCCCCCCCGCCCCTCCCTCCACAGTAGTGTGCTCTGCCCTCTTGACATCCAGCCCCCCCCCCCCCCCCCCTCCAGCACTGCCCCCTTCCAGTAGTGTCCTTTGCCCTTCACTCTGGTACCTTACTTAGACCAAGCGGAAAGTGGGAGGCAGGTTGGTAATAAGCTGAGTGTGGGAGGTACAGCTCTGCAATGGTTGGAGGGCAGGGGCGGGTTCTGCAGGATGCAGGGTGGTCCTAGCCACCAGTCAATTGCTGGTTAATATTAACCACCTTCCGCCCGCCCTATAGTACAATGACGGGCGCAAGGTGGTTCTCTCGTTCTGATAGGACGTCATATGACGTCATATGACGTCCGCACACCATTCTCACTGCGCAAAGAGCCGAAGATGTCGGCTCGGGTCATGTCATCACAGCTGATCACATGTAAACATGGAAATGCCGGTTATCTGCATTTCTCTCCTCTCGAGCTGGCACACTGACAGATCCAGAGGAGAGGAGAGCCGGTAATCAGCTTTCCGCGGAGGGGACATGTACACTGATCATCTGGGCACTGATGATTAGTGTGCCCTGATGATCAGTGTGGCCCCAGAAGTGCCACCTGTCAGTGCTCATCAGTGCCACGTGCCAGTGCCCATCAGTGCCACATCAATGCCACATATCAGTGCATACCAGTGCACATCAATGCCACATATCAGTGCCCATCTGAGCTGCCTTTCAATGTCACCCATCAGTGCCAGTCAGTGCCACCTATCAATGCCAATCAGTGCCACCTATCAGTGCTGCCAGTCAGTGCCACCTATCAGTGCTGCCAGTCAGTGCTGCCTATCAGTGTCAGTGCCGCCTAACAGTGCCAGTCAGTGCCGCCTATCAGTGCCGCCTATCAGTGCCATATATCAGTGTCATGTATCAGTGCTGCCTTTCAGTGCCCACCAGTGATGCCTGTCAATGCCCATTAGTGCAACCTACCAGTGCCTCCTCATCAGTGCCACCTATCAGTGTCCATCAATGCAGCCTATCAGTGCCCATCACTGCAGCCTCATTACGCACATCAGTGAAGGAGAAAAATCACTTATTTACAAAATTGTATAACAAAAACTAAGAAAAAACTTTTTTTTCCAAAATTTTCAGTGGTTTTTGGTTTGTTTAAGAAAAAATAAAAATCCCAGAGGTGATTAAATACCACCAAAAGAAAGCTCTATCTGTCTCAAAAAAATGATAAAAATTTCATATGGGTACAGCGTTGCATGATCACGCAATTGTCATTCAAAGTGTGACAGCGCTGAAAGCTGGAAATTGGCCTGGGCAGGAAGGGGGTATAAGTGCCCTGTAGGCTAGTGGTTAAAAGTTAACAGCGGGTTGAACAAAAAATTATTACACCATCCAAACATTTGAGGTGGTTGAATCACTCCCGTTGAGCTGTTGTGTTCTCAGATCAGATTTCCCAACCATCAGAATACATTTTTCAGTGCTGCAGGCTATATATGGGCAGCACAGTGGCTTAGTGGGTAGCATGTTTGCCCTGCAGTAAATGGGTCATGGGCTTGATTCCCGACCATGGCGCCTCCTGCATGGAGTTTGCATGTTCTCCCTGTGATTGGGTGGGTTTCCTCCGGGTGCTCCGGTCTCCTCCTACACTCCAAAGACATACTAGTAGGTTAATTGGCTCCTGTCTAAATTGGCCCTAATATGTGTATGTATGAATATAAGTTAGGGACCTTAGATTGTACACCCCTTGAGGGTTAGGGACTGATGAGAATGTTCAATACATATGTGTAAAGCGCTGTGTAAAGTGACAGCGCTATATAAGTACCTGAAATAAATAAATAAATAGCCTATGAAACTGATTGAGCGGCATTTATCCAACAGGCTGTTTGTACAGAGGTTGATCAGTAGATGTTCTACAACCACTGTCCCATACGTAAATCAAAATTCATCCCATCCCTGATGGACAGGCTGAATTTTAATTTATGTATGGCTTGTTTCTGTCCTCTATTAACTGTATCTCACAGCACCAGCAGAATATCTCAAAGCTGGGAAACCGTTGCAGAGAAACATCACTGCTTTCTTTGTGGAAGCTGCGGCCACACATACGGGTATATATGGCAATTCTCTGTCCTGGCAGGTTACTATAAACTTTAAGAACTCTAAAATTCTAGGTTTGCTAAATGGATCTTCTTGCTTTCTTCTAATTTGTTCAGATGTAATACCTCTCATTAGATTCTAAAATGGTCAATAAAGTTATATTATCACTTGAGATAATATTACTTGATTCACCAAAGCTCAACACTCAGGGGCTGTTTATCAATGTTTTCACCAAAGATTCAAACTACTTTTACCCAAGATTCACATTTTCTACTAGATTCTTAAGTAAACATGTGTGAGTGTTGTGTGAATCTTGGCTAAAACATCGATAAATGGACCACCAAGGTAAAAATAAAAACTAGTTTAGGAACTAAGATTGCATTTGGCTTTCACCTGCCAGAAGCAAGTGAAAAGCTAGTTAATGCATGCTATGACTATGCTTCTCCTGCATTATAAGGCTGTGCCTAGTTAGTAACTATAATGATGTTTCATTTTTGTTTTAATAGGAACGTCTAGCTGCACTGGAGCTTCAAGCCAATCAAATTAGATTTCAGTCTGCACAGGATGCTGAACGTCTTGGTCAGGAAAGAAGTGCAACTTTAGTACAGCTACATAAGGTAAAATATAGACGAAGTGCACATTATTTTTCTTGCAGAATGCTGGATGGTACTGACATTGTTTTACTTTATTTTCAATATTTTTGGTAATGTGAGGAGCTAGGGCAGTGCAGGTAGAAGTTTTTGTATCAGATGACAATAAACATCAAAAATCACTAGTTTTCAATGTCTCTTAGAAAAAAAAAGCAGCCTTTTCTCTAAAATTATTTTGTGGTTGTTATGATATTAATGTTGCCGCAAATCAATAATATTGAGGTTATTTTTTTCACTAGTATGAGTCATGCTTTGTTCAATCCCCTTGTGTTATAACAGGAAAAGGAAAAGTTGGTTCAACTGGAGAGAAGATATCAAACCCTGACAAGGCAGCGGGGTTTTTCCACTGGGTCATCTGCTCTCAGGGAGGTAATGATCACACCAGTTTTTACAATAATCCAGAAAAATGCTGACAGTTAACCATACATGTTGATTTAAAGAGCCAGACGATGCCTTTCTTCTCTATAATTATTTATGCTGTAGACTAGTCAAACTGAGATAAAGTTTACACACATTTTTATGTAGACGTTGGTCCAGCCACTCAACTTTAATTCAGTGTCGCATGTGCAGTGCTGTTACCTTCCTTCCAAGGCAGCTCAGGAGAATGAGTATCTTCTCCCAAGTGACAGGAACCACCTTTATCCACAGAGCTTTAAGAAGTCCTTATGACTGGCTGCTCATTTTTAGAGCTTCCTTTGGTGTGGATGGATTGGATCTTTTTTTAGTAATATTTGGAGGAAGTTCACTCTTATTTATGTTGTCCTCCTCCCTGTGGGATCTTGTATGCTTCTAGTCTCTTCTCACTTATGTGATGATTGGTCGCTAGGTCCTTTCCCCTTTACAGTGTGGAGAGACTTAGGACTGAGGGCTGATTTCTCTTAGAAAGACCAGTAACTACCACAGCAGGGACCTCTTGACTGATGATGCCAGACTCTTCCAAGCAGGGGGTAGCATCTTGTCTCCAGGAGTTTTGACTTTTGGTTCTGGGATGAATGAGGCAAATGGAGTTAAGGGTGGCTTTAAGATGGGGTTTTTATGGGCGGTGCTTCCCCGAGTTGATCTGAAAGTCCAGAAACATCTGCAAGGATGAACTAGTTGTCCATGATGTATTAGCATCCACTTTATAGTCTTTTTTTTTTTTTTCTATGTTGGCAGAATAAACTCCCCAAATGTTATTGCTAGGTTTCTTCCCTTTTAGACTGCAGATGCTGTCAGATTCTTTCAGACAATGCCACAATAGTGGGGTTATCTGAGCAAGCAAGGGAGGACCAGAATCATGGCATTTGGCTTCTGTCATGGAAGATCCATTTCTGGGGCAAAGCAAACTTGGCTTTCATAAATAATGATGTGTATCTAGTATACACATGCGTGCCGCGCTCCATATAAATAGCGAAACTAAGTATATTAAGTGACAGTGATAGTAACGTGAAAAACACAGTGCTTTATACAAGTGCAACATAAACATGAGATGTGTAAAGATCTGATCCTGCAAATATATATAAACAGTCCTCTTTACACTTCTTTGATTATTTCAGTGATAGGTGAAGTATATAGTGCCACACTCCTGTGCTCTGTGGATGGATGTGCGCTCACCTCCTTGTCAGCCAGACAAGCTGGCTAGACACACTTTTTGTCCTCACTGGACAAGATGGGAATCTTTGCTTTGCTTTCGTGCCTCCATCCAGTGCTGGGTTACCTAATTGCCACCAGAGGTCTCCCTCCTTCCACACTGGGACCTCAATGGATTTCTTATGGGGATGGTGTGAATGGTTTATCTCCTCTCATATGTGCCATGTAAGAGACAAATGGTGCCTTATCCTTTGTGTGGCCAGAGCCCATTTATTGTAAAAAAATGCCACTCACATTAAAATCCAACTGTTCAATAGTTAGCCGGCGTGTGTATCCGTCCTGTATTGCTGGCACCGCTCGTCCACCGCAGCGTAGTGACGTCAGAGCCCCTCCCCTAAGGGGGAGGGGCTCTGACGTCACTACGCTGCGGTGGACGAGCGGTGCCAGCAATACAGGACGGATACACACGCCGGCTAACTATTGAACAGTTGGATTTTAATGTGAGTGGCATTTTTTTTACAATAAATGGGCTCTGGCCACACAAAGGATAAGGCACCATTGGTGGTTTTTTGTCTCTTACATGGCACATATAAGAGGAGATAAACCATTCACACCATCCCCATAAGAAATCCATTGAGGTCCCAGTGTGGAAGGAGGGAGACCTCTGGTGGCAATTAGGTAACCCAGCACTGGATGGAGGCACGAAAGCAAAGCAAAGATTCCCATCTTGTCCAGTGAGGACAAAAAGTGTGTCTAGCCAGCTTGTCTGGCTGACAAGGAGGTGAGCGCACATCCATCCACAGAGCACAGGAGTGTGGCACTATATACTTCACCTATCACTGGAATAATCAAAGAAGTGTAAAGAGGACTGTTATATATATTTGCAGGATCAGATCTTTACACATCTCATGTTTATGTTGCACTTGTATAAAGCACTGTGTTTTTCACGTTACTATCACTGTCACTTAATATACTTAGTTTCGCTATTTATATGGAGCGCGGCACGCATGTGTATACTAGATACACATCATTATTTATGGTTTAGTCTTTAACACAGTTTATGAGCTATGTGTATAGTGCTGAAGCACCAGTAGTTATTTATGGTTTAAAGTTATCACGTTAAGGGAATTATCTTGTTTTGGCTCACGAGTATAATACATCACATTTTGCAAAACTTGGCTTTCATTTCTGCCAATCACTTGAAGGGCAACCTGAATGTTCTAGTGATTACCTTAGTAGAAAATATCAGAAGCTGAGTGGTCCTTTAACACAGACCGTTTCCTCTCCATGGTCTAATGGGGCTTCCCTCAAGCCAGCAGCATTTCATTTACATGAAAGTTTGAAAAGTATAATTTTTTTGTGTGAATCACAGAGAGATAACATTTCAGATACAGCTTCAGCTCTGGAGTTACTACAAGGTTGTTATATCAAGGTCTCATTGTCAATATCCAGGCACAAGTTGTTGCCTACAGTGTTATAGTGTGTTTATTTTTGGAAATGCGGAAAAGCCAGTCCTGGGGACTTTGTAATGGTGACATGTTTATGTCTAACACACTCTTTCCTTTGCTGTCCTGAATGATTTCCAGGATGGAATTACTAGTTAGTCCTAGGGTAACCATAGATGGTTCAAATTTCAGCTAATTAATGCTGATTTTGGCCAGCATTTGAGGTGGGTGGCCCTGCAGCCACTAAGTCAGATGGAAAATATTTGGCTGAACAGTAACTGCATCCTATAAGATGCAGTCACTGTTCAAATATTAAGTCAGCTGTGTCTGCTATGGCTGCCTGAATACAATAGCCAGTAGACAATATTCCTTGCTGTTAATGTGGCTTAAGGAAATACTTTGATTTTCTCTTATTCAGCCACATGGTTGTAAAAGAGAAAATTAAAGCCATGTATGTCTAGCTTTACTCCTAACACCACCAACATGTAACAATTCTAGTCCCTTAACCCCCCTGGCGGTATTCCCGAGTGTAGCTCGGGGTAAAGTTTCAGTACCAAAAGCGGTAACCCCGAGCTACACTCGGGCTTACCATGCGGCGTTGCACAGGGATTCCCTACAGCGCTTACCTTGTCCTTCGCTCCCGCGATGCGTCCCCTGCAGCGTCCCCAGCCATTTCCTCTGGCCGATGCCGGCATCTGGCTTCCGTGTTCCGGTCCCTGTGACGTTGGGACACGTCACGGCGGCAAATTTGAAAATTTAAAAAAAATGACATTTTTTTTAAAAGAATATTTCATAGCAAAACATTCCTGTATCCAAGCATTTCACATACATTTTGTCCCTACTGCTTTGTCCTGTGCCCTTCCTGCATTTTGACTGTTCTTTCTGCCTGGAAACTTAGAAAAGTCCACGGCATCCAAAAAGCGTCCCCTTAGGTCAAAACCGGTTTTAGACCGGCTAGAGAACAGCGATAGTAAATCAGAACTACTTGCAGAATTGAGTGATAATGATTCATGGGGGAAATTCGTCATCCGACACTGAAAACGATTTTGCGACTTTGCTCAGTGATGTGCGAACTTGGCGTTATATTTCACATTTCAGTGTTTTTGGTTTGATTATATTATTGAATTAAATTTATTATTATATTATTTTTTTTTTATTTTTTGTGAGTATTTATTAAATTATAATTTATGATTTCCTGTTTCAAGTTTTATCATATCCGGAATGTTTACTAGACTCTTGTTCGGACAGATTTCAGGGAGTTATTCCTAAATTACAGGCCTACAATAAAAAAAAATACATATTTCCATGCAAAAAAATGGTACCGCTTTTGGTACAATATTCTTGACATAATCATACCGCCATCGAGGTTAATGTCTCCTCAGCTCTCAACCAGAGTAATCCGACTATGGTTCAATCATGTGTCCTTAACTCTTTTTCTTTAGATCATTGGGTACAGAGTTCCTGCACATGGAGACTGAATGAAACATTTTGGACCCTCTAAAGCTAATACCCCAAAAAGGCAAACTCTGGCTACTGCACTGATCATGCCCAAGATGATACCTCCAAATCAATAGAATAGGTCAATACAATGGGAGGCATTAAAATGTACCCTTAGTTTGAGTCTTACTTGCCTCCAGAAACAAAAGTGAGATCCTTTCAAATTGGTATTCTCATATCTATGATTTGGAAGTTACTTTTGCCCTCTGGGTCTTCCTGTCCTGATGTCACCCATTTCCCTAATTTTTGTATTGGGTGTCAGCTGGACATAAAGTACGAGGAAAATCTCCCCAATAGTAGGACAGAGACATCAATTAAACCCTGACAGATGTATTAACCCTTCTCTACTATGAATAATAATTGCCTGGAGATCTACCCTAAAACAAAATGTACTTATTTCAGAATATCTGTTCTAATAAAGCAGAAGATTATGAGCCCAGGCCAAACCCCCTGGATGCCTCCCTCCTTCCTGTTTACTTTAGCCGCTTTGTGCATTGCCCTATTTTTAACCCTTTTCCTCCTGCTATGTTTGTTTTGTTTTCCATGTTTCTGTTTTCCCTGGCTATCCTCTTCCTCCCTTGCTTTTAGGAATACCTGTCCCTTGCTGATGCTCTCTGCTTGTACAATGCTTCATCTTCTACTCTTACGTTTCACCCTGTCATATTTGACTCAGAGGTACAAAATCTCATTTACTATTTAATAATCCCATGTGAGGTTGTAAGGTAAATTGTGTTTAGTTTTTGTCTTACTCGGATACTTTAGGAAGTTCCCACCTGTTCAGGAGAGCTGTATTCTTGGTATTCAGAAGGCGGGTTTCATTTGAGTCACAGGCATACAGGGATGTACCGTGACCACAGCTGCCAGTTCTAAGTGGCAATAGAGTTCTCTGAATGCAATTAGGGATCTGCTCACATATCGGGGAACCTATTATTGTCATTGTGTACTGTCAGGTATGCTCATGGCTGACATCCGTGATGGCTGGTGCCGACCCAAATAAAACTGGCAATCAGTGTGGTATTTAATGTAGTGCTCCACACGTGCTCCCTGCAACTGGTGTGTACAGAGCTTTAGTTTGTATCTTTACTCTATGGTCCCATTGTATTTACTATTTGCTACAGATTTTTTTTGCATATTGTTTAGTTTTATAGCATGCGCACATTTTTCAGTAAGCTGGGATGCTCCTCAGCTTTATGCAGGCCATAGACGGGCCATTTATCTGCCGAATTGTCGGCCGATAAACGAAAAATCGGTCGGTGCCGTTGCTGCCACCAATATCCACGGAAAACAGCCGTTTTTTTTTTCGTGGATTTTCCAGCATGACCGATAAAAATAAATGAGAAGATCCGTGAAAAAATGGCTGGCCCCACTAACGGCGTGAATATCGGCTGATTTTTTGTGCGGACAAAAATTTGGCCGATAAACGACCCGTCTATGGCCTGCATTAGTTACACATGGATCCCATAAGAAGAACGTGGATAACCCAAGAACAATATTTTATTGTTTGCAGCTTACCAGTCCTTAACAATGCTATCTACATTAGTTTTTGTTTTCAGGTAAATTTTTTTTCTTTATTTTCACTTGATGATCCTGCCAGAACCACAGCTTCTGTCCTAGAGAATGCTTAGTCACTGTACTGTATCTATGGAGAAGCAGCGTTAACATCTAGGCTTCTCTCCTGATTTGGACTACAAACACCTCATCCTTTCCTCATCTCTTCTGCATAGGGAGGAGGTGTTCTGTAGTTCACATAAGATATCTGGGAAGACTGATAACACCAAGATATCGGTTCAGTACACAGTAAGTTGCAAGGACACTGGAATTCTGGCCGAATCAACATTTATTTTTTGTACCTGCAAAAAACTGAAAAAGAAAAAAATGCAACAACCACATTGCAGGACTGGTAAGCTGCAATATATTACATTTTGTTCTTGGGTTTGGATATGCTTTAAATGTAAACTGTTTAGATAGAAATATTGGAGCTGTTATTTCTGACTTTCTGGCCATGAAATCATTGGCCAAGAGACAGGAAAACAGTTAGTAAAAGTATACATTTCCAACCTGTATAATTATTCTGGGTCAGTACTTCTCAACAAATCTTGCAGTAATGTGCATATGTGAAAAACAAGCGAACGAAAATTATCTGTCATAGTTGAAGGACACTGAAATGTTTTGAATAAAGAAAAATTGGCCTCAATGAACACATTTCAAAACTCATATTTAGCACAAGCTTCAAGTTATATAAAAGTTAATAAAGAAGCACTGTATGATATACAGCATCTGGGTACCTGTAAATGAGATTGTACTTATGAAGTATCTGAAAGCCAGACACTGGGTCAGAGGGGCTAGAAAGCTGCTGCTAGGTATCTCTCCTTCATCAACCAAAACCTGAAATATTACATTCAATTAGATTAAGATTAACCATATACTAATAAAAAGCCTGTTGCCTGTGCACTCCGTGTGCTCATTGTTGCAAGCCTCCCTGCACTTCAAGTCATGTTGCTGTTGAGTGGATGGGTCTGCCTCGTGTTGGGTTAACTGCTAAAAAAGGAAAGCACTTTGATTTCAGTTGTTTGTCTTAGAAGAGATGCAATACATGCTCTATTTTTTGAGAAATTACTATCTTGTGGAGTTGAAGGCAATTTATAGACGTAATCTGTAGATGGGGCAGGCAAAAATCCTAAATTAGATACTAAGCTATGTGCAGTCTGATCTACTTAGTTTGCATCTTACTATATATTGAATGTTGGCTAAGTGTGATTTCATCTTTTGGAGTCATATTTTGCCTGTTGGCTGATTTTCATGACTTACTAAAAAGCTGTGCAATGTATTGTTTTCTTTAGTACATCACCTTAGATCAACTTCATGATATACTGGGAAACATGATGCCAGGCACTACCAATAGTGCTCTTCCTTCTGAAGGTTTTGATGCAAAACCAAACCCTAGTGCTCATTCCTGTGAAGATCCCTCTTCTGTTCATCACTGCTCTTCATCATCCTCCTCTTCTCCCTCCATCTCGCTGGAGGTTGGTTCACTACCATAAAGCTATCTTTATTTTCTCTTATATTTATGATCTTGCTTTGTGCTTGAGATTCTGTTTCAATAGGTGTATAAACATAGATTACCTGACATAGTTTAGTTAAATCTTCATTGTATATCAGAAGAAATGCTGTAACAGCTATAGGTCAGATTTAAGCTGGCTATGGATGGATCGACATTCATCTGGTTCAGTAGGGACCTGCCGAATTTCGCTCTATTTATGGTATTTCCCATTCAAGTCTATTGATTGATTTGATTCCTCCAAAATGGCATTGCTGGAAAATTTGTGTTTGATCAGCGTATACAGCCAATCGGCTGTAACGCTGATCAATGTATTTTGACAGTGAAGGAGTCCCGCTGTCAGAATTCAGTGGTGCTGCAGGGAGATTTTCCCCATCTACCTTGAATGTGTAGATAGGGCATTCTGTTCAGATTTTTCAATCAGCCCACTGGCTGATCGCAGAAAAAACTGAATAATGTATGGGCAGCTTTAGACTCACAGGGACAGTCAAACATGCATCCACACTCTGACCATCTCAGATACTACTGCCAGGCATTTCCATGTCAATGGAGATGGCAGGGGGAGGGGATGAAAACTGCTGGTTGGCGCTGCTGCCACCACTAATCTCACCAGGGGGACAAGAATGACTGGGGTCAGGTTTTCTAATCTGCGTGATTGATTGCTATAAGAGCAGCTGAATGTTTAGGTTTTGGACCTCCATAGATATAAGATGGTTTCCCCATCATGCTGAGGATAACCTGATTGAATGACTGTCATCTCATGTATATGGTTAACTTTAAATAGATTTTTCTACTTTTTCAGGCCTACCTTGAACATTTAAAGTCAATGGGGCACTTGCAGAAATGGCTGTCTAAAACCCATCAGATGGAATAGAGATTAGAGAGATTACAAAAATCTTTGCCTGATCACTGTTTTACCCCTGACACGCCAGCATCATAGATGTCTGCAGCTCACCACCCCCACCTTTTCCATTGCTTAAACATGAATGGCCATACAATGTGAACATTTGGTTTTGGAAGCTTTGCCTCTTTACAGATATCTTAGTACCACATATTGTCTACAACTACCATTAGGTATGCTTGTACAAGACAGAGCTGTATTGGTTGATATCCATAGCTATTACAAATGGTTGTCTGGTATGTAGTACATCTTTCTCATCGTATTGATACAGCTGTTATGGGTGATGCTACTGTTTTGCTTTTGTTTCACTTTTTTCTTTCTGCTTCATTCTCATGTGCTTTTTTACTGCTTACTTTCTCTTTCTCACAACATCAGGTGAATTCACAGGTTAACGAGACTCACTCTGCACCCATTCCTCCTCCTCTGACAGACTGGTATCAGGAATTTGCATCTCTTCCCTCCACCAATGTTTCTTCCTCCCCACCTCCCCTTCCTGCTAAGTCTCACGCCTCTCGTAAGGCCCAGCAGGTAATTCCCCTGACCCACCCAGCCTATCCTGCCTGTGTGTCAATCCAAATCCTAATAGAGAAGGAATACATCCATTTTTAAAGTATTAGTTGACATTTTTAGAAACATAGTCATAGATAATAGAAGCATGTTTATGAATTGTTTGAAACAGCTAATTGTAGTCTTCTCTGTTAAATTGTGAAAAATAACAATTTTAAATTGTTTATGTTTGAATGAATTCTTAAAGCTAAACTCTGGCAACAAAAAAATTAATTTTAAATATATTCCTCAATATTCACAAAGTATATAAATCCACTTTATATTCACCAAATGTAAAAGTAGTGGTGATATCATCACTGTATTGTATTGTACATAACCTGTACAGAAAGCAGAGCTGTGGTAGGAACGGAGAAGATTCACCTACTACAGGCTGCCTGCTTAAAACAGCAGTGATTGGTCTCCAATACAGGAAGCTCTTGCTTAGAGGCAAAGTGCTGCAAAATTGTTGGAACAAATCCACAAAGGATACTAGATTTCATGTAGGAATACATATCCCTCCTGTATTAAGACATTATTTATAAACCCAGATTTCAGCTTTAAGTTATATAGTTACATAATTAGTCTGGTTGAAAAAAGACACAAGTCAGTCTAGTTCAACCAATGTTAAATAAGTCAGTGTATGTTTGACCATTTGTCATGCAAAAAAACAATTAACATACCTTTTCTGTTAGATTTCTTTGTCTCGAACAGAAATCGATGGTGGTAGAACACTGCCAAGGATGAAAACGGTTTCTCCAGCTTCTTCCCTCTTCTCAGTAGCTACTTTGGGAAGAAGTGTTTCACCAAAGGTAAGTAAATAAAGTGCCTGCATTTACGTGCGTTAAATTTTTTTTTCATTTTTAAAAAAGGACTTTGATTAGCTTTTTTTTTAACTTGTCTCTTCTTCTCGTTAGAGTGCACCTTTGACACCAAATGGCTCAGGAAGTCTTTCCCGTGGATTGGCGGTCACTCTGCAGGATATTCAGAGTAAGAGGCAACAAGCACTACTGCAAAAAGGTGACAGAATCTTTTCCAGCTGCATTGAGTATAATGTTTCCTTCCATCCTCACTGGAAGGTTCTTGTACGCATTCAACTTTACATCCTCAGCAAGCATGCTCCTTCTCCCTCTCTGCTCTCATCCTCAGTGCTGCATTGCTCCCTCCCTTGCTTTTCTTGGCAGCAGGGCAGCTCCCATTATTTGTCCATTGTACTGGATGTTTCCTGTGCACGTTTCTCCTTATGCTCTTTGGGACTCTCAGATCATGAACATCTTTTTTTATGGTCTCATTTGTCTCCCCACTTCCCTCTCCTCCCTCCCCTCCCCCCATCTTTCATCCTTTGTGGCTTCATCTTGTACACTCACTTTAGCACCCAGAGTTGGGAGTGATTGCACACTCAGAAAGAAAGTAGGTCGCCCACACTTACAGCAAACAAAGAACACATGCTCAGGCACACAAAGCACACACAAAGCATATGCAGACAACGCATACACAATTGGAGCACACATGGCACACACAGACCATATACAGTTGGAGAACATGCAGACAGAATACACAGAGCAAAAATGAACAGCATATACTGAATTTATAGTGAGACCACGCAGTTTACAAAACCACTTAATAATGTGGTAAGCATTGCTATAGAAACTGTACATGCAGACAGCACACACAGTCAGTCTGCACACAGCCTAAGAAAACACACAGAGCACACATGGGACATAGATAGAAACATAGCGTGAAAGAACACAGTCTGGACCAGGGGCGGACTGACCATTTGGAAACTCGGGCACACTGCCTGAGGGCCCGGGGTCCGTAGGGGGCCCCATGAGATGCCCCTGGTACCTTTTTCATAGGCTTTTTTGAGTTTGGGCAAGGACACAGGGCCCCCATGATCTCCTATTGCCCGTTGGCCCCATGAGTTGTCAGTCCGCCCCTGGTCTGGACAAAGCAGCAAAAGGGCACTCAAGAATAAATCAGTAATGTAGGGGTGATATTCCTCTTGCTTGTATTGAATTTTTGTGCATGAATGAGATTTCTCACACATGGTTTATGTCTGCAAGGTGGTGACTGGGGATATGGTGGCTTAGTGCATAAGCACAATGTGCTGGTCATCTTTTAGGAGGCGAGTCGAAAAATTACCTTGCAGATATCATATTCATCAATGCAACCCCAAATAATTCTTTACATGTCTACAGAAAATATCACTTCCAGATTTGAAACTTTTTAATGGTCAATTTATCGTTTGCGTGCAAGGGAGTACAAGTGCATACTGTAGAATTAGGGAACCCTCTAACACTTTGACAGTAAAGTTGGTCATACACAGTTCTTTTTGAAAAGCTTTACTCCCTACATAAATATATATATATATATATATATATATATATATATATATATATATATATATATGTGTGTGTGGGCCAATAGAACAACATACATAGTAACATTTAGTGAAACTATGGAAACTGTTTATACAGGTCTCATGATAAAAAAAAAAAAAAAAATAAATACACATGATTTTGCAGGTTAAAAATGTGCATTTATTATTTTCTTTCTTAGGAGCCTGCAGGGCATTGCACCCGCGATCAGCAGATCGCTGGTGCAATGTCAGGCTCCTGGAGACTCTCAATATAGTGGTCTGCCTGTACCTCCTGTACAGGGAGACAGTTACTGAAGAGCAGGAATTATCAATGAACTACAAGGGTGTTCACCAACTCCTTTGCAGTTCATTGTGAACTACAAGCCATCTGCTGTGATGACAGACAGGACTTGTGGTTCTTTCCCAGAACTCTGCAAATGAATGACGCAGCTGTTTAGATGAAGTCCCGCACAGCTGCTATGTTTTAAAATTGTGACAACTGGTTTGGGGAGAGAATCCCCAGCCCACTGTAAGAGTGAGGGAGCAGGGCTACTGCTTTGATAACATGTTACCAGGGTATTGTTTTAGGGAGTACGCGGAGGAACACATTTCTGGCACCTCCAGCATTGAATGTATGTAATTACAGGGGTTGCTGGAGGGTCTATTGATGCTGGTTGCTGGGAGATTTATTGTCACTGGGGGTATCTATTGTTGAGGGAAAGGTCTATTGTTGCTAAGGGTTGTTATGTTGCTGAGAGGGATCTACTGTTGAGGGAAAGATCTATTGCTGCTGGGAGATCTATTATTGCTGGTGGGGTCTATTTTTGCCAGGATGGATTTTGTGTTGCTATAGTGTATGAGTATTTTGTTTCAGGGGGTCTATTGTTGCTGAGGAGATCTATTGTCGCTTAGGGGCTCTATTGTTGCTGGGGGGTCTATTGTTGCGGGGGGGGGATACTTATGGTGGCTGCAGGGGATCTATTTTACTGCTTTTCTTGCATACGTGTGACTGTGGGGCAGGGAAAGCCTCCAGAATGGCTTGGAAGGGTTCTGGCTCTTCTCTGAACATGCCAGAGTTCTTCCTCTGTTGCACGCTCGTGACCGCTGGCCCTCTTGCCTGATCCAATGGACTTAAGGGTGATGCCATGTAGGAAGGTGAGAGAGGATTGCAGGCAGGGATCCATGTGACTGCACCTTCCCCGTCCTACTCTACATTAAAAAACTATTTCTTTGCCCTCCTAACACTCTAACCCATGGGGGGGGGGGGGGGCCCATGCCCTCCTGACCTCTAGCACCATGTGCTGCTGACCCCCCAGTACATGCCCTCCTTATTGAGCCCTGGACACTGCCCTACATACTACTTGCACTGGCCAGAAATTAGGGCAGATAGCCAGGCTTGAAACTAGTTCTGCTTTCATGATGAACTCCAGCATCAGACTTGTGGGGGTAATCAATGACTCTCCAGACATGAAAAAAATTGTGAATGAAAGTGAATGCCGAGTTTCTCACTGAAGCTAACTTTTAAGGTAGGATAAGTTTATATTTTTACAGTGACATTAGTTCTAGTAGATTTTTCTAGGTTTTCTTCATGATGTCGTTGTTTTATTGGAGGCTTGCTAGTTAATTTCTTTTAAAAAAGGATAGGGGGGCGCTACACCTCAGTGATCTTTGATCTTTTCAATGTTATCCAGTAAAATCTCCACCTCTCAAAGGTTGCCTAACCCCGAGGCCCTAACCCAGGGGTAGGCAACCTTTGAGAGATGGAGATTTGGTGGAAACAAGGGACAGTGCTTGGAGGTGGGTAGGGTGCAGAAACAAAGAGTGGCTCAGAAGGGGAGAATACCTGCATCTATTTTCTAAAAAAAGAAACCCTTCATGTTACACCCTGAATACGGATGTAATATTCTAAAGCATTATATAAAACACTGTTTACACTGAAATATTATAAAACACCAAACTAATAACACACCTATTTACAATACACCATTCTGAGTTAGGTATTTAAAGAACATGCACATTTTGCTAGTTACTGATTTCAGTTGGAAAACATTTGACACATTGACAAGCTCCACAAAGCAAGATCAACAAAACAACTGAATTTTACAACAGTCCTGTAAGAATAAGTAGAACTTGGAAAAACCAGGTACCCATATTTATTTTTACCCACAATTATTTAAGGTACCCATATTTATTTTTACCCACAATTATTTAAGGTACCCATATTTATTTTTACCCACAATTATTTAAGCCCTATGTATTATCATCCAATAACTGAAATTGGCTATTACCTCAGCAGAATAACAAAATGACATATTTACATTTTGGAAGTTTTCCCTCCACCAACAGACATTTCAGGGTTTTAGTCATGGGCTCTCTCAGTTTTGTTCCCTTTTTATCCCATAATTCAGAATATTCCTTAAATTGTATCATTACAGTGGTGGTCTTATTGATGCTATGTGCTTTTGTGTAGCATTGATATGAAAATTGGTCCATTAAACTCCAGTAGAAGAATAAATGATTAAAGGGTAAACTTTCTCAAGGGGTTCACATAATACTTGGAGCTATAAGAGAATGAGTTACTGTTCATTTGCATACAGTTGACGAAAACTTGCATAAGCTCAGCATTTATTATCACTACCATGTAAACATCTCCTCTTCTTTTCCCGACATCTTGGCTATCTCCCATTTTGTCTCTCAATCTGCACTCAACTGGCAATCTTTGCATCTACTAAGCTGGTGACCTGGACACAGAAAAGTTCCTCTTACCTGAACACACAGGTAGCCTAGAAGTGTACTGTGTGTTATGTATATTGGAAATTAGCTAGACTGTGACAATTTTAAGTTGTATGTCTGTTTGGGAACACACTGGTTTTTTGTCAGATTTGCATGTTTTTTATTGAGACACCTCTGTATGTTGCATTGTAAAATTAGGGGGTTTGTCTGGACTGTCTGCAACAACCCCATAGCTATAATCCTTAAAAACTAAAAATAGTCATACTTAAAGCAAAACTCCAGCCAAAAATGACAAGATAAAAATTATAAGCCTATTAAATGATAATGAAAGGCATCATTTGTTGCAATATTCACGATCAATTCAGACCATACTTCATTTTACTACATGATGTTTCCAGTCTGATGACCAACATCTTTCAACTCACTTCATCTGAGCCCGGACTGTCCTGTCCCGCTTATCATTCTGTGACTGGACAGTAAAAGCAATTGCAGCCCATTGAAGAGCTCATCATTCCCTTATTGTGCCCTCTGCTCTTATCAGCACGCTTTTTTGTCAGTACCTGAACTAAGTGCCTCCTTCTGCTGCTTCTTCCTCCTACTTTCCATCCCTGCTGAATGTGGACTGCAAGAGGCTGATACCAGGTCAAATTCAGCCACTTATACAGCTTGTGCTTAAAAACCCATTAAAATATCTCTTAATGATTACAGAGCTGCATTAAATTGTATCTGTTATATCTGTCTAGAGTTCAGCTTTAAGCTATATTTTTCTGCACTGGTGCTGTATATGCACTGAATTATTTTATATGTAACTGTTATCAGCTGTATTGTAATCATACAAAATGTCAATCTGTCCAGTAAAGAAAAACGAATGGCTTGCTGATTCGCACTGTAAAAAATGAAATGTAGCATAGACAATAATTCGTTTGATTTGCTTGGTTGATGTTAGCATGCTAGTATTTGTGTGCTCGAAGATGCACTTTACAGTGCACTGTAATATATACATTGAAGATCACGAATGGCATTATTCGTTATTATGCCTTTCCATACAGGACAGCAAGTAATAGAAGAACAACGCAAGCGCCTTGCAGAGTTAAAGCAGAAAGCTGTTGTTGAGGCTCAGTCGCAATGGGAGTCTCTCCATGGAGCTCCTCATCAAGGCTACCTCCCTATCATGCATCATTCCATTCTGCATCACCAGCGGCCTTTGAACTCTCGTGATGATGACCCTGCGCATGGCTATGACACTTTGAGTTTGGAGAGCTCAGACAGTCTAGACACTAGTGTTTCCACAGGAAACTCTGCATGCTCCCCCGATAATATGTCTAGGTGAGGTTCTGTGATTTCACCTCAAGCCCAGTTTGCTTGTTATATGTAGCCTTTTCTTATACACCCCTACTTGTTATTCCAGTGCTAGTGGTCTGGACATGCTGAAGATTGAGGAAATGGAAAGGATGCTGCTAGAGGCTCATGCAGAACGAGCAAGGCTTGTAGAATCCAGAGTAAGTTGAAGCAAAAAGTGATAATGATTGAACTGAATTTCTATAGAAGGATGAGTATAATTAAGCAAATGTAAAGTTTATTTTGATAGAGATAGTGGTACTTTATAACAATGTGCAATTGCAAATTAAAGTCTTTTGCTTGTTGCAGAGATCACCCCCCTTCCCCTTTTTTTACTTTTGATACATCCTCTGAAAACATATTGCACTACTGGACACTTGCATTGAAATAAATACAAACATCATCTGTCAGACTTTGCGTTCTTTTACCCCTCTGAGCTGTCTCCCCTGCCATGCTGTGGTAGCTGGTAAGTCTCGGAACTGTTCTGAGCACTTGAGTTAGAGGTTGTTGAGGCAATACATTTGGGAAGGAAGTGTCTGATGGTATTGATGTACAGCTTCTAGACACTCATAACAAATACATTTGGGAGATAAAGTATGCCACCGATGTACCTAAATCCTATTAACACAAAGGTTCAACCCTTTCCCACAAAGCTTCACCTCTTCACTGTGTTGTGGCTGGTGCAGGACTCTGCAACTTTGCTTCACAAATGTTGAAAGGATATATGAGCTTCCATTGTTCCCCATGGTAGGCAGGTAGGAGTGTACCTTAATGTGTATTTTACTGCATTTTAGAATGTCTAAAGTACAGAAGATATGCTAAAACAACATGTTTTATAGTACAGCACTGAAGATTTTACTGTAATACCCACTGTAGTGCTGTAAGCATACATTCTGCATCAAAAGTAAATGTTTTCTTGCAAGCACTGATATTTGATAATTCAACTTTTATACATATATACAGTAGATATAAAAAGTACACACACTCCTGTTGTTAGGTTTCTGTGATGTAAAAAAGTGACACAAAGATAAATAATTTCTTAACTTTTTCCACCTTTTAATATGACCTATAAACAGTACAACGTGATTGAAAAAACAAACTGAAATCTTTTAGGGGGGGAACTAAACATAAAAAACTAAAATAATGTGGTTGCATAAGTGTGCACACCCTCCTATAATTGGGGATGTAGCTGTGTTCAGAATTAAGCAATCACATTCAAAATCATGTTAAATAGGAGTCAGTACACACCTGTCATCATTTAAAGTGCCTCTGATTAAACCCAAATAAAGTTCAACTGTTCTAGCAGGTCTTTCCTGACATTTTCTTAGTCGCATCCTACAGCAAAAGCCATGGTCCGCATGGAGCTTCCAAAGCATCACAGGGATCTCGTTGTTAAAAGGTATCAGTCAGAAGAAGGGTACAAAATAATTTCCAAGGCATTAGATATATCATGGAACACAGTGCAGACAGTCATCATCAAGTGGAGAAAATATGGCGCAACAGTGACATTACCAAGAACTGGATGTCCCTCCAAAATTGATGAAAAGACGAGAAGAAAACTGGTCTGGGAGGCTGCCAAGAGGCCTACAACAACATTAAAAGAGCTGCAGGAATATCTGGCAAGTACTGGCTGTGTGGTACTTATGACAACAATCTCCCGTATTCTTCATATGTCTGGGCTATGGGGTAGAGTAGCAAGATGGAAGCCTTTTCTTACAAAGAAAAACATACAAGCCCGGCTAAATTTTGCAAAAACACATCTGAGGTCTCCTAAAAGCATGTGGGAAAATGTGTTTTGGTCAGATGAAACCAAGGTTGAACTTTTTGTACATAATTCCAAAAGATATGTTTGGCGCAAAAACAACACTGCACATCGCCAAAAGAACACCATACCCACAATGAAGCATGGTGGTGGCAGCATCATGCTTTGGGGCTGTTTTTCTTCAGCTGGAACTGGGGCCTTAGGCAAGGTAGAGGGAATTATGAACAGTTCCAAATACCAGTCAGTATTGGCCCAAAACCTTCAGGCTTCTGCTAGAAAGCTGAACATGAAGAGGAACTTCATCTTTCAGCATGACAATGACCCAAAGCATACATCCAAATCAACAAAGGAATGGCTTCACCAGAAGAAAGATTAAAGTTTTGGAATGGCCCAGCCAGAGCCCAGACCTGAATCCAATCGAATATCTGTGGGGTGATCTGAAGAGGGCTGTGCACAGGAGATGCCCTCACAATCTGACAGATTTGGAGTGTTTCTGCAAGGAAGACTGGGCAAATATCGCCAAGTCAAGATGTGCCATGCTGATAGATGCATACCCAAAAAGACTGAGTGCTGGAATCAAATCAAAAGGTGCTTCAACCAAGTATTAGTTTAAGGGTGTGCACACTTATGCAACCATATTATTTTAGTTTTTTTATTTTTACTTACCTCCACCTAAAAGATTTCAGTTTGTTGTTCAACTGAGTTGTACAGTTTAAAGGTTACGTTAAAGGTGGAAGAAGTTTTGAAATGATTTATATTTGTTTAATTTTTTTACAGCACAGAAACCTGACATTTTAACATGGGTGTGTAGACTTTTTTTTTATCCACTGTATTGTGTATTGACCCTGATCCTTTTAGGATGATCCCTTTAGTGCAGTGGTCTCCACACTGTGGCCCTGGGGGGGCAGACACAGCTTTTATCTGGCCCTTAGGGCACTTTTCCTGCCACTGGTGGAATACACCATTCCTCCCACTGGCACCAACAAAGGGGCATAATTCCTGTTACTAACATCAAAAACGGGGCAGTATTTCTCCCGTTGACATCAATGATGGGGCTCTATTCCTCCTACTGACACAAATGACGGTGCACTGTTCCTTGCCATAATGCTAAAGATCCACTGTTTACTCTCACAGACACCAGTACAATTTCTACTCCCAATGGCCACAGTCTGACCGTCCTGATGTCTGAAGAACAGTACACTGGCCCTTTGTTTAGAAAGACTGCAGACCCCTGCTTTTGTGCCTTCTGGTGTTTTCCACTAAACCAGTTCTGAAGTTGGCTGTTTAGAGTAAAACCTTCAAGTAATTGTTTACACCAGTTCCACTTCAATTATCTTGGCAGTCTGGCCAAGCTCAAATATATTATCTCAGAATTGATCTCAGTCCTTTGTTACATATTTAATCTGGTTAAAGATTTAAGGTGTATGTAAATCCTAACAAAAAACTTAGCTAATTTGCTCCCTTTTGGTTTGGTAAATATACGTTGAAGACACCTGGTTAAGACACTCAATAAGTACAAATAATACCTGTTGTATCTGCCAGAAATCCATGGCTGTCCTGTGCATTCTACTGCATTATCTCAAACAATGTTATCAGAAGGTGTGTTAGAACTACATAACAACTCTCTTCAATGTTATGGAGATGAGGAAAGGGGGAGGTGTTTGGTAGACTAATAGACTTCCTGTCCTAGGGTGATCTTCATAGATACAGTACAGTGACTGTTGTCACCCTAGGACAAGAGGTGTCTTAATGGCAGGATTATCAGTTGAACAAAAACAGATGCAGTCACCACATTGAAGGGCTGGTAAGCTGCAATGTATTAAATTTTTTTTTTTTGGTTTGGACACACTTTTATAATCGAACTGTTCTTAAATCACTTTCAGGTTATGATGAAAGGTGTTTTGGGAACTCATATTTATCTTTGTTTGTTGACTATGAAAGTGATGGTAATGCAAGAGCTTTGTGTGGCTCACTTGTAGGAACGTGAAGTTGAAGCACGCAGAAGAGCATTGGAAGATGAAAGAAGAAGGAGAGAAGAACTGGAGAGACGTCTACAGGATGAGACTGCTCACAGGCAAAGACTTGTAGAGAAAGAGGTTAAAATGAGAGAAAAACATTTTTCCCAGTTAGTTCTTGATTCAGTTGTATGCATTACTCTGTGTACAGATTGTATTTTTAATAATTTCATTTGATAATGTAATTTTTTTTTCACTGCCTTTTTTCCTTCTTTAGGCTCGTCCTCTCACTCGTTATTTGCCTATTCGGAAAGAAGATTTTGACCTCCGTACCCACATTGAGTCCTCAGGTCATGTTGTGGACACGTGTTCTCATGTAATAATAAATGAAAAGATGTGTCGTGGCTTTCTAACAAAGATGGGTGGTAAAATTAAGTCTTGGAAGAAGCGCTGGTTTGTTTTTGACCGTATGAAGCGGACCCTATCCTATTACGTTGGTAAGCAATTGCTCTGTGGAAAATAGAAAGCATCATTGGCTGACCATATTTCTGTATCCGTAACAGGCTTTATACAGCTATATGTAACACAAGGCGCATTTCGTTACGTTTTGCAGTCATTTTGTTCTTTTTTTTTTTTTTTTAGGACTAGATTATTGTAGGCATTCAATATAGTCACATTGTCCATCTGAAATAGAGATTTACAGGGAAAAATTTGTAAATACACAATTGTCATGGCATAACCTTTATAGACATCAAATTCATCTCTCAAAATAATAACTAAATATTAATTTGTCATGTCAGGAGTGCCTTTACGCAAAAATCCAGTTAGGGGCATCAGATAAAAATAGTAGGCACTCCTAGCACTGCAATGGGTGTCTTTTATTTCCATCTGATGCCCCTAACCTCTTGTGAAAGGCCCTCTCCCGACCGGCCAGGCACTTCAAAGAACCAGGGGACACCATTGCACAGTACCTTTCAAGAAGAGTGGTGATTTTGCGTTCCTTGTGTTCTCTCCATATACATGATTTCTCTGTGGTTGAATGGGACAGTTTTGTCCTAAAATATATACATATATATTTTTTTAAGTACTTTTTTATATTGAGACATACTGTATTTGAGGTCTATTTATGTTTTGCCATGACCCGTGAAAACGATTATTTACCATTTTTTTCAATTTAGTATTTACCATTTTTTCGCTGTAAATATTTATTTCAGACAGATAATTTGACTACGTCAATAGCCTACAAGAATAACCCAATCTTGAAGAAGCTGAACAAAATGACATCGAAAAGCAACAACATGGGTGTTCCGTTCCATTCAGCTGTATAAAGTTGGTTACACAATAATATATATGGTCAGATGTTTGGGAGGGTCCCATGTTTGTACATGGATTGTGCTTTCATAGTCATTGTGGATTTTTAATGGATGTGTACATATGACAACATTTGATACAATTTGTTTATGCAAGTGATTTTAACAGATGCACCTCACTGCTACATCAAATCCCTCCCTTTTCTTTTGCTGTATTTTGGGGTTGTTTTAATAAAACTGGAGAGTGTAAAATCTGGTGCAGCTCTGCATAGAAACCATTCAGCTTCCAGATTGTTTGTCAAATCGTAATTGAACAAGATGACCAGATTTGCACTCTCCAGTTTTAGTAAATCAACCCCTTGGTGTATACTATAAACACCTCCTCATATGCTAGCATCCCAAGATTCTATAGACTCTATAGAATCGTGGGATGCTAGCATATGAGGAGGTGTTTATGTTTGTGAATATTAATTATATGGCTATTATGTGGTTAACAGGATGTTTTTCTTTTATTAATTACTTTATTGTACTTCACATAGAAATGTTTATGCTGTTCTGTTGTAGGTTCTTCTTTGCAAAGGATAATGCACTTGTTTGTACTGTCAATGCTCTTTGAAAAGATGTTGTATTGCTTGGCAGTTGTCTCATTTGAGTTTGTAAAGTTATAAATTCTAGGAGTGTTGTGCTATTGTGTCATTTGATTTACTTTTGTTAATATTTACTGTTTTATTTTTTACAGACAAACATGAAGCAAAGCTGAAAGGTGTCATTTATTTCCAGGCAATAGAGGAAGTGTACTATGATCACCTGAGGAATGCAGCAAAGGTGAGATTATAATATAATGAGGGGAATTTATCAAAACTGTATCAGCCAGAATTTGGAGCAGTTATGCACAGCAGCCAAATAGCGTCCACCTTTCATCTTCAAAGCTTAACTAAACAAGCTGAAGATAGAAGCTGATTGGTTGGCATGCACAGCTCTTCCAGATTCTGTCTACTACAATTTTGATAAATGTTCTCAATGTGTTCAGAGAGCCATAGTATGTCACTTCGTACACCAAGAACAGTGGGCAATACATTATTACTATTATTATTATTATACAGGATTTATATAGTGCCAACAGTTTGTGCACTTTACAAAATGAAAGCAGACATTAGAGTTACAATACATTTTGGTACAGGGGTGTATTTTGGAGATGTTGCGGAGGTTGAGGCGGCAAGATTTGGACAGGGATTGAATGTGGGCCTGAAAGGAAAGTTCAGAATCCAGGGATACCCCTAACACCCTGGCATGCGGGGAAGGGTTGATAGTTGTACCATTATTCTTCACAGAGCAATTAGAGGAAGAGGCACATGAGGGAGGAGATATGAGCTTAGTTTTGGATAGATTGAATATGAGGAAGTGGTGTGACATCCAGTCTGAAATGTCTGTTAGTAAATCAGTGATACGTGAGAAAACTGATGGGGTGAGCTGAGGAGTAGAGAGATAGTTTTGTGTGTCATCAGAATAGAAATGGTAGAAATGGTACTTGAAACCATGGGAAGCTATCAGCTGACCCAGGGAAGAGGTGTAGATCAAGAATAGGAGAGGTCCAAGGACAGAACCTTAGTAGACCCCGATGGTAAGAGGACTAGGAGAGGACTAGGAGAGGAGGAAGAAGAGTTGTAAGTGACACTGAAGGTGCATGAGATAGATAAGATTCAAACCAATGGAGAGTACAATCACAGAGACCAAGGAAAAGGAGTTTTTGGAGGAGGAGCGGGTGGTCAATTGTATCAAAGGCAGCAGGAGAGGTCCAAAAGTAAGAGTACAGAATAGTGACCATTGGTTTTAGCTGTTAGGAAGTCATTTGTAAACAATAAAAGATATCCCAGTCCTTCCTGGGATCTTAATACAGTTCTCTGACTTACACAAGTAATGGACATATGGTACACTTGTCCTGAGAAGCTTCCCCCCCCCCCATTTTTCTATACAAAAATGAATGATCTGCATTAGGATACAAATACATTTTTCCAGCACACTGGTAATCATCTCCGGATGTGATGAGTACCTATACCCAGTGCTTACATAGAGGAGCTCAATATCAAATTCTTGTTCTTGCTGCGTTGGCACAAACAAAGCTCCGATCAGTTGCTGAAGCAAGTATGGCAACCCCCTACCCACCCATTTTTTTTTTTCTCCTTTCGTTAACCTGGAGTATATCTTCTTTCCAATATTTTGTTTTTGTTTTCCAAGAATAATGTGCAGTATCTCTTACTATCCTTTGAAGTCTTAGTCAACTGCTTTTTTTCCCCACAGAAAGGAATATTTAACCTCACTCTGGCTTCTGTATGTATACTGCATGCAAAGCCCTCTTTTTACTGCTCTCCAAATGTGTTCTTCTTATCCCTTTTTAAATAATACTAATGTAGAAATAACACAGTTGAGTTCCAGGATGTTTTATGTGCTATTAATGCTGACAAGGACCGAATATTTATGCAGCATTTAAGTACTTTGAAAAAGTGATTCAATTACATTATTGTTTTGGTGTGTTACAATTAACTGCATGTTTTAATTTCTAAATAACAGTCATTCTTAACATCAATAAAGTGATCTTGTTAGGCACAAGTTAACTTGACAATTCAATACTTGCATTTTTAAGAGAAACTAGGGTGTATTTGAAGTGTGAAAACATTGAGGTTTTATTGTAATATGTGCCTGTTTATCGACTTGGAAATCACTGGAATATGAATAACTTTTGTCTATTATGACAATACAAGAGAGTTTATGGAAGCACCAACTGGAAATGACAAAATACATGGGTATAAAGTATCTAGACAAGATGGCTTACACCCACAAGTCCTCAGAACCAAGTGCTCAGTTATTTCTAAATTTTAGAGACTATGGAAAATAATAATATAACCAATAGCCAGCATGGATTTCTGAAGGTCAGATGTTATCAGACTTTTTTTTTTTATGAGAGGAAGATAGCAGTAATGACCACGTCTAAAGAGTCGTGATCAATGATCAAAGTGTGAATGGTTAAGGTTTTAAAACTCGCAAAGCATTATGGGAGAGATTTACTAAAACTGGGGCACTCAGAATCTGGTGCAGCTCTGATGGTAGCCAATGAGCTTCTAACTTCAGCTTGTTGAATTAAGCTTTGACAATAAAACCTGGAAGCTGATTGGTTTCTGTGCAGAGCTGCACCAGAATTTGCAGTCTACAGTTTTAGTAAATCTCCTACAGGTTCTGTAAGGGAGTTAATATATTTAGTTTTATTTATGACGTACATCTGTAAGCCCCTCTTCTTCCTCCTACAACAGAGGAAGGGGAGCAAACAGGAACTAATGAATTATTTAGTTCATGAAAACAGTAAATTATTGCAGCAGTAGGTCCAAGCAAAAGTTTTAACCTTTGCACACCCTTCACTTCTCCTACATTACAAATGTTTATAGCGTAACCTTATCCTGCACAACTGTACATTACTTCCTAATTTCCATCCTCCCACTGTATGTGCCCTGTACCCCTTCTTCCCTCTGTGTATGACCTGAATGCACTGTATCTAGTGCAATATTACAAAGTTCCGTGTCTAAACCCTTTCAGTACCAACAACAATTATGGCAAAAAATTAGATCACCTTAGGGTGACTACTATTCAGAAAGGGTTCATTTTAGGGGGTGTGCACTGACTGTGTTTTGCAGAATGTAAGGGAAAGTTTTTATTTACTTTCTGGTCTTTTTTCCCACATATATTAAGAAATAAAGACCCAGTGGTTAATAAATACCACACAATAAAAACTCTATTTGTCTCAAAAATGCTATAAAATCTATTTGACTGACAATTACTTCATCATGCAACACCCAAAGTATTATAACACTGAAACCATAATAAAGAAGGGGTTATTCAAGCTAGTACTCAAATGGAAAGGAGGACATTGCCCTTCCATCACTTTGTTCCAACCCAGTTCCTTTATGTCTTAGTTGCCTTAAATTCTTTGGAAGTAGTTAGGCAATTAGGTTGTACTTGAATTGATCTGGGTCTCATAGATCAGACTTCCTGTTTATTGTTGTAGAGGTTCAACATAAGGTTCTTGCAGGATCGACTGTTAATGTCTCACACTAGATCTGGCAAACTATTGACCAAGCATATGATATCAAACACTGAGAATGCATTCTACAAGATCATTAAGGGCTTTCTATCAACAAACATCAAATTCTCAGGTTTTTAATGCACTTGATCATCAGTTCATACATTCCCTATGTTTTACAAGGGTGATGTAGCAGCATCAGCTGTTGCCAGTTTTAGGTGTAAAGTTTTACAGACTGCGGTCTGACTGAGCTGTATAATTTTATATTATTAAGTGTAGACAGTAGAACAACAGCACATTTTAAAAGTGATATTGTCAGCAAAAACAAGGCACTTTTTGAAAAGTACAATACATAAAGGTATATTAACATAACAAAGAAGATAAGAAAAAAAAGAGGAAGTTACACAAGTGCATGAAGTACGTAAACGACAAAAATAGGTTAGGTGATACACCTGTCAATAGTACACTGCCAGCCAACTTTTACTGGGGATGTTATTAAGCATGTAATAAGTGTCTGCAATCTCTCCATGACTCCCATTTTTTATCATATAAGTGCAGCTTATCCAGTAGGGTATAATGAATGCGTTCCATAAGCATTACAGTGTCAATTCTGTGTAAAACGGAGTCTAAGGGAACAACATTGGACCTCCAATGTAGGGCAATAGACCATAAAGTGGCAATACATATGTGTGTGTATCAATCTCAGATTGGCATCAGAGACCCCTGGGATATGGGCCCCCAACAAACAGGTCTGCATGGACAATCGTATCGGGGCGCCCGACAATAAGGTAGCGATCTCAGAAAATCCTACGCCAGATCAAAGATATGGTCGGGCAATCCCAAAATATATGAACAAAGTACCCGTGCAGTCACAGCCCCGAAAACATAGAGGGGACGTTTGTGGGAAACAGTACATGTAGTCTTGACGGGGTATAACATACCATCTGGTTAGAACTTTAAGGGCCGTCTCACGAACCGAAAGAGACCTAGAGCTCTTGCATATATTTCCACCATGGAATCCCAATCCTCATCCGAAAAGTGACGCCACAATCCTCCCCCATTTTTCGTCTGTACAAAGGGGGAGCATGAAAAAGACAGATCAAAAATTGGTGATAAAGTAATTTTATATTTCTTTTTACCTGCCCAGTTATGGCACAGCTCTGGGATGTCCCATCCAAGATTTTTTTTTTTTTTACTCCTTCTCTATAATCTTTTTCTGTGTTTATTGGAGGACACATAGCAGGGGGAGAATCAAGTGATTTGCTTACCTGCAACTCGTGCCTGCCTTGGACTTAATAAGTGCTTAAAGTGAAATAAAAGTTTAAAAAAGTATAAAACCTTCATCAGTTTTTCACAGGTTAGCCTCAGGCCAGACCTCACAAAAGATTAAATATTTTCATTTTATTTATTTTATAGATTGGGCATTGGTCAGCATGTGGCATGTATTTAGAAATGATGGGGGAAATCATTTATTTGATAAATGATAAAGCTAATTCTTTTTACTGTTTATTTTCACTCAGAGTTAACAATTTTCAATTTAATGTTCACAAACTCACACTTTCAAAATTAAAAATGACTTAAAACCCTTTTATTTAAAAAATATTTAACTTTCTATATCAATAATTTTTCACTTAACATTTCTTTAAATTTTAAAAAATGTTCCCCTTAAATTTTTAATGGAAAATTCTTTGAAGTCCTCAAAACTAACTTGGCATGAGAAACATGGTTCTATACTTAGCAGCCTGTCTTGATTCATAGTTGTTCTGTTGGGATTTTTAATATATCTAAGTTGAGAAAATGGCTGGGAGACTAGCCCCATAGAAGTCTATGTATCTGCAATGCGTCTGTGACCAGGAGAGAGGGACTTGGGACATTGGATGTAAATAAACAAAGGCTATGGCAGATGGATCTCAGAAAGTATGAGATCTGTGGAGAGGACAGGTGGGATCAGTTAGCATTAAGCAAAGGGGCATAAAAAGTAAATACACTGTGTTTTAAAGTGTAGTTATCCTTTATCTAGGAAAAAAACTCTGTGTTGCACCTTCTCTAAGTGCCCCAAGCTTGTGTTTATTTTGCTTAAAGCAGTAGTGAAGTCTGAAAAAAAAGCACCTTTGAATGGCCGAGGTGTGATGAAGCCACTCCTGCAGAGATTTTTCCCTTTCAGTGTTACATTGTGATGACCTCAGGAAAACAATATTCATAATATTATGTAAATTGTTGTATCATAAAGATAATCTCAACTGGATTAGTGCATACAAATTATTAGCACAATGGTGCTATTTAAACCCATCTTTAACTGACAATATCACAGTCATGTAACACTGCACCCAAAGGAAATTACGTCCTTTTTTTCCACGAATAGAGCTTTCTTTCAGTGGTGTTTGATCGCCTCTGCAGCTTTTATTTTTTGCGCTATAAAAAAAAGGCTGACAATTTTGAGAAAAAAAAACAATATTTTTGACTTTTTGTTATTAAACATGCCCAGTAAAAAAAATTAAAAATCAAATTTTGTCATAAATGTATTCTGCTACATGTCTTTGCTAACAAAAAATCCCAATACGTGTAAATTAATTGGTTTATGTGAAAGTTATAGCGCTTACAAATGGTGGTATATATACTGGGATTTTTTGTTAAATTTTTACTAATATTGGCGGCAATCAGCGACTTATAGCGGGACTGCAGCGGGCATTCTGACACTGGGGGGAACTGACCTGTTGTCACTGACATCCCCAGTGGACACCAATACAGTGATCAGCGCTAACAGAGAGCATTGACACTGTATTAATGGCATTGGGCAGGAAGGGGTTAATATGTGGGTCGATCAAAGGATTAACAGTGTGCTGTGTGTGTTTTACTGTGGGCTGTGTGTTTGTTCTTCACTGTAAGCACACTGCTTTGCATGGCTGTGCTATGCACAACCATGAAAAGCAGTGTGCAGGAGCTGACAGGGGAGAGAACTGTTTTGTTCACAAACAGTTCTCCACCCATCAGAGATGTTCGGCAATACCGGGTTCTGGCAAGTAATCACCGGCCGGGACCCAGTGATTGATAGCCGCAGCCACAAATGGCGGCACAGGTAGGGCTCGCGCGTGCCCCCTACCCAGAAATGCAAAATCACGTATATATATGTGTGTGTGTGTATATGTATATATATATATATATATATATATATATATATATATATGATTTTGCGCACATGTGCCACCCTGTAGCAGTACTTCTGCTATAGGGTAGACAGGAAGCAGTTAATGAGCAGAGTGGTTTATTTTATCTCAGGTCTGTTATTGTTTTATTGACTGATTAAAGTGGTTAATAGGTAAAAGGTTTTTATCCTTACTGCATTCTCTGCATTAAGGTAAAAAAAACTTTTCATGTTCTGCTCAGCAATTAAGCATCATATGGTGGTGAGCTAGTTTACTCACTAGTAGATAGTCCTGATGTCCTTTTAATTGTTTTTATGTAGTACCAGAGATACAAAACCCATAAGTCAGGACCCCAGATAGCATTCCGCATTCAGTTTTTGTGGTCCCCAATTTATTGGATATGTATTTTTGTTGACTGAGACTAAGGGGTCCATTTAAGAAACTAGATGTATATCCATACTGTAGCTATACCACAGGAAAAAAAACTTTGAACATTTATAAATTACTCTGGTGTTCTTGAAAATTTTGCATTGCACTCTGTTGGTTCAGGGGACCAAAGCCAGTGGAGAACAATATGAATGAATGGACTTTGCAAACAAAAAAGTTGGGAGGAGAGCCTGGTTGCATGACCTGTATATCACATGACTGGTTCTCCAGCAATCAAGTTCTTTCTGAGGTGTTAAGTAAAGTGAACTCCAATAACTGCCTCAGGCTCAGTGCCACAGCCTTATTTTATGAATGGGCTGCAAAATGCAGGTCACAGTATTTAACAATACTACAAAGAATAAAGGAGAGAGGGCAGCTGTATCCATTCACCATTATAAGTGTTTGGCCATCAAACAAATGGCTTGCTGACAATAGAGACTACAACATACTAATATTAAGAGTGCCTCTCTATGTCAGTGTGTGTGTTTGTTGATTCAGCACGTGTAAAGGTTTTATTTAATCCTCTGCATGTTTACTGATGATAAATTTTACTCAAAACTGGAAATTCAGTGTTTGATTAAATTTGTTGTGTTGATATATACCCAAGCCTTATTTTCAAACGTCTCTTCTCCAGGATTTGTTGAATATGTGTTTTTACTTTCTCCTGTCACTGCATTGCTATCCAGTTATTTTTTTGGGTGAAAAAAATGGTAGTCCAGCTCCATACGTGAAATTTCTCCAAAATGTAGGTTGTAAGTCATGGCAGGTGGACAAGTAGAACGTCCATCTTATCAGTACCCCTTACTGGTCATGTTTTCAGAATTATCCTCACAATGCACAGGTGTAAAAAACTGTTCTCACTTTGGGAAAGGCAGAAAACATAACCTGTTGGGGGTACCCGATGACTGGAGATGAGAAACACTGAGAGCACTGGAGGTATATTAACTATAATAATATTCTGGAGTTGAAACCCAAGCCTGAATATTTCAGTATACTTGATTTACAGGTTTATGCATGTTTAGTCTGTTACTGCATGTATGAATCTGTGCATCTTGTTTATACCTGTTTTTTTATAACTTTGCACTGAATTCCTCTCTTGTCCTTCATAGCAGATTTCTGACTTTCTCTCTTTACCCCTGTGGAAGGAGGTGGGTGAGACAGTGTATTGGTTTGCTTTACAACTGGCTATTGCCTCGTTTCAGAATATTTTTTCTGTAATGACAGTAATTGTAATGACTTGCTGGCTAAGAATATAATGTATGAAATTAAGAAATATCTTTATTGGCAACCAGCTTCCATCTGTTCCACTTAAATGGCCTAGCCACGATGAAGTGACTGTCGCACATGAGCACGGGAATCACTTCATCACGCAACAGAGTGGTGATGTAAATGTACTGTGAGCTCCGCATGTGTGGCTCAGTGTACATTACTGCTGTCAGGCAGGGAAAAGCAGTTATCCCCTGCCTGTCGCAGTTTATTTAAAAACAAGAGTGTAATTCTGATTTAAGATAATGATACTACTGAAATGGCGCCTGCAATTTTAAGGCTTTATATTCCTATGTCCCTGTAAAGCCCCTGGATCTAGGCCCCAGCTTATGAGCAAAGCCTTGACTTCTACCAAGTCTGCAGAAGTGCTCTGCCCCTTCCCATGTTAAGTTTTAAACCCTGCATTTTATCTTTCAATTACTGGAACCTTTACTTGGCCATTGGGAATGTAGAATTTGACCGCTGAATAGCAGTTAGGCTTAGAAACACTTAGATACTTATTAGTTCATGGTTTCACTCTGTATTATGCATAAAATAGGATGATTGGTTTTTAGCGCTTCACTTCTGCTTTTCCATATAATCAATATTTATTAAGCCCTGGTTCACACTGATGCAAATCTGATATGGTTCTAATGCGTTTCAGAACTGATAGATTTGCACGTCAAGAGAGATGACATGGCTTTCAATGGAGGTCGTTCACACTTATGCGTTCCAAACGCATTGCACTTTACAAAAGGTTCCTGTGTGTGTTTGGTGCGATGAAGTGCATTTTTGAGCCCCATAGACTTGAATGGAAACAGCAGTGAAAATGCATAGCTGTTCAAATGCAATGTGATTTCATTGAGAGATTCACCTATTTCTAATGTCACAAAATTAGCCAGAACAGAAACTGCAGCTGTGTAAAATCACAACAGAATCGAACGGCAACTGCTTCTGAAATCGCACTTGAAATCGCATAGAAATCACACTGCATCAGTGTGAACCAGGGCTAAAAAAAAAAGTATTGTTCATTTTTAACTATGCAACCAAGAAACTTTGAAGCAACTCGTCAAGCGTGTTTCACAAATGAAATTGTATTTTTCTTACAGAGCCCCAACCCTGCACTGACGTTTTGTGTTAAGACCCATGACCGGCTGTATTATATGGTAGCTCCTTCTGCAGAAGCCATGAGGATTTGGATGGATGTCATTGTAACAGGGGCCGAAGGGTACACTCAGTTTATGAACTAATGCAGGCAACAATTGCAGCTTTCACCACTCCATCATTCTCCTCAGGACCCAGAAAAAAAATTACGAAAATGAGAAAATTACATATTTTCCACTGTTAATATTAAAAGAAAGTGTGTGTAATTTATATTTAATACATATCTTCTAAGTAGGTTCTAGCAGTTTATATGGTATGGATAAAAAGGTACATGTCTTTTTTGCTTTTATTGTTTGTATTTGAAATCCTCTATTTAAAGAAGCTGCTGTCTACATACCTTTTTTATTCTTTGACAGTTTGTCAACATGTATCACTGTGCTGATGTATCACTAGCAAATTATAGACAGCTTTTTATCACAGGCTACCACATTGTATCTTACAAGAAACTATAAAGATGAGTCATTGTATAATATATACAGTGCTTTTAGAAGGTCTGGAGGTTATCTTGTGTTTGTGTCATTGTTGAGTACTATTAACCACTTGTGGAAAGGAATCCACATCAGATTCCAGGGCTATATTTTCTTTTAAGTCAAACAGTTTGTATTAAAGCGGTAGTAAACTGCACACAAAAAAAAAAAAAAACTGAGACCCCTTCAGGATAATGTCATAGTGTGCTATAGTCACCACATACTAGCACATTATGACAGACGTATCTTACAATGAAGCCCTCCAGTGGTGCGCTGTGACCACTGCCAGGGCTTCCATTTTCACTTGGTCTTCCTTCCGGGTTTGCAAACTTCAGCTGTTTGAATGGCCGAGCCAGGATAACGTCCCACCCATGCTTGCACACAAAAATCACACTCATGGCACAGAGCTCTGAATGGATGGCACTCTCCATTCAGAGCGGAGTGTGCATGCACTGATGACATCACCGGCTGCTACTAAAGTAAATATTTCCTAAATGGCGCATGTTTAGGAGATATTTACTCTACCTACAGGTAAGCCTTACCTGTAGTTGTAAATCCAAAAATCATACTTTACTACTGCTTTAACACATTCATCCTGTATAAAGTTTGGCAGAGTGGTTTATATTATTCAGAACAGATGTTCCACAGACAAAGAAACAAATCTTGGGTGTGTGAGTTCTTTTAGACAAATGCTCCTTTCTTAAATAGCAAAATAGTAAATTGCAAAATAAATGCAGTTACTGTCTATTGTTTTGCTAGAATGCCAATTTTGCACATTGTCATTTGTTTTTTTGGATAATTGCCTAAAGTAATATGTAACGATCACAGCAACTGCCGGGCATGAAAAGTTTTAGCCATATATGAGCAATAAGATATTTCGATGCACTCCAACAAGGCTAGCAGTGTGCCAGATTTTGCACCACATGCTTTGGTTTTATTTCAGTGCCCCACTTAGGTTTTTTTGCTGGTTAGTGCACATCCTGAAGAGGTGGAGGCCGTGATCAAGCTAGCATTTATAGTGCTATACATTTAGTTCCATAATGGAGTCTTTTACATAGGAACGCTTACTGTAGACTGGGAGATTCAAATGATTGCAGGCAGTCTTTTGGAACTATGATTCTTACTTTTGCCAAACAAATATTTCTGTAAGGCACAGTTCTGAAAACTCACATGAGTGAACAAGTGTACACTGTGCACCTAAAATGTGGGCTATATGAAGTAAAAGTGTTGCCTACTTATTGACTATCTGCATGGCAAACACAGGCTTTCACTTGTATGTTCAGAACACTGTTTGGTACTTATTCATCATCTGCCAGTTTCTTTAATTACTGTGTCTGTTACATGTTGCACACAAAGAAATATTCAATCAGTAACTTAGAAAAATATATATGAACTTGTCATATGATATTTTAATGCTCCTGTAGATTACCCTTTCTACCTTGAATCACAGAACAGAAAAATATAGTGTCCTCCAAGAGTGAAGTCTCATTTTCTCCACTAGGAGGCCAATAAGTATGTTCTCTGTAGGTTAGAGTACCTGTACCCAATGTTATGACCATGCAATATATATCTATACCTTTTTATATAAGAAGGTTATTGACTTCTGTTTGAGATGTGTATATCTTGTATTATTTGACCAACTGTATGGTGCTGCCTTTTTATTTCCAATATTATTTTTTATGACGAGCAGGTCATGTAAGCCTCCTACCTGCAACAGAATCTGTTATATGCAAATATAGATATGTGTATTTTCTTTTCTTTACAGCTCTTATATTACTGCCTTTTTGTGTCCCACGCTTGCAACAGAGCTTGTGAAACTGCCCATATTTTGCATCGGGCATCTTTGTGTTACGTAAACCATATGCCACCTGTGCCTTTACAATATATGCCATTAAACAGAAACTAGAGTTGTTTTTCTTCATTTATACAAGGAATTCATGCTTCTAAATAACTTTTAAAAAGCCTTAAAGCATTCTAAAACCGTATGTAATCCAAGTTCTGCACAATGCTACCAAATTATTTTCTCAGCAGCAAGAGTGTTGCTGAACTACTTAAGGTATTACATGATCTTCTGCAATATTACATTTGTTGCAAAATAAAAAATGAGGTGACATAATGCTTTATGATTTGCTCTTTAAATGTCATAAATGGCATTTTTGAACATTAGGTGTTAATTGTTAAAGCAGAACTAGACTTAAAATATAAAAAAAAGATTAGCTGGTAGTGTTTTATGGTGTAGGAGCCTCTTTTGTCTTTGTTGCCATAAAACCGCTCTTCTTTCCTGCTAACATTTATTTTTAAACTATACACTGACTGACATGCATGTGCAATGTACAATCTCTGTAGCCTAAGGGCCAGATGTCTGAATGATGTAACTCTTGTGGGCATGTGCTGGACTGATATCATCAGTGACTGCCAAATGGCTGAAGATAGACAACTTGTGATCTTGAAGATCACTAAAAGAAGATGGCAACAGCGGCAATGCTGTGATGAGGGAGAGCACCGATCAGGCATAACTGTATGATCCCTGACAGGTTAGGTTAACAATATTGATTATCTTGTTGCAATGGCATCTGGAAGCCAGTGGGATATAATATGAAGCATGTAAACATGTTTTTCCCCAAGCTGATGCGTTGAAACCTGAAAGAATGGACATCGTTGTTTATTGTGTATGGGGCTGCGCAGATCGGTCAGGGTGCCACTGCTGATCCTGCCAGCAGCCAAAAAAGTGCATACAATGGGTATGAGATCATCAGAACTGGACCAGTCTAGACTGAAGGTGTGTGTGTGTTTTCCTTAAATGGGGAAGAGATGGCACCTGGATGCACTATGGGCAGCAGTGATGGCAGCAGTGTGATGCTTTGGGCAATGTTCTTCTGGAAAACTTTGGGTCCTGCCATTCATGTGGTAGTAACCTTGACATGTACCACCTACCTAAAGATTGTTGCTTATCAAGTACACCCCTTCATGGAAATAGTATTATTCTGTCCTCAGACAACATCATGTTGCTTTCTATTCCAGGGTTCAGCATCTACAAGCAATTGGGGTGGAGCTGCTGATCGCAGAGTGGATCTCCAGGACAGCTTATGTCTTTCTGCCTCTCCCTCTGATTCTCAGCGTCCTGCTGAGGTTGGGGCAGGGGAAGGTGATAGTTCTGGTGGTGATCCCAGATTGGTTGAAGGGGCCTTGGTACCCTCTGTTCCCCTCCTAATGAGTGCCACGGATCCACTCCCTCTGCTGGTAAGATCGGATTCTCCAAAGTCACATTCATCCACCTGACAGGCTCGAACTCATAGCTTGGGTCTTGAGAGGCAGAGGCTAATGGATCTCGGGGGCTCTGTAAATGTGAAAACTCTTATGAAAGCAAAGAAGAACAGCACTAACAGTACCTATAGTGAAATATGACATAAATTCACAGGATTGCTGCTGATCAAGGTTTTACACTGGGCTCTTCACAAGTCTGTCACATTCTTAAGTTTCTGTAGACAGCGCTTGATTTAGGTTTATGTGTAAGTACGCTATGGGACCACATTTCAGCTATCTCTGCCTTCACATACAATGGGCATCCAACGCTCAGTTATACTGTCCTTCAAGCTGCAACTTGGTTGAAACCTACCTAAGGGATTGTTTGTGAAATGGGTTCTTCCATTGGTGTTGGACTTGTTTGCATCAGATGCCTTCAATCAAAATGGCCACTTGTGGTACCTCACTAAAAACTGCTTTCCTGATGGCAATTACATCAGCCAGAAGAGTGTCCGTATTAGCGGCCCTGGGGTTTAAAGAACCCTTTCTTACGTTTATCCCAGATAGGGAGGTACTCATGCTGAGGCTCAAGATTGTGCCAAAGTGGCTTCATAGTCCATATCACATGGAAAGTTGTCCTTCCCAACATCCCTCTTGGGGAGTACCCAAGAATTTAGCCCATCAGATGTGGGTCAACTTTTAATATTTAACATCAAGGTGACATCTGGCATCAGGAAGTCGGAGCACTTGTTTGTCATTCCAGGTGAAGCGTGTAATGATTTTATGGCTTCCAACAAGATTATTGCCTCCTGGTTGGCGAAGCTCATCTCTTTGGCTAACAAGTTGAAAGGGTTGGCTGTGCTAGGGGGCATCACTTCACTGTCCACCCAAAGGGTCTCAACTTTGTGAGCAGCAGCAGGCTGAGTGTGCCCAAGACACTATCTGCAAGGCAGCTACGTGGGGGTTGATATATACGTTCATGGCTCATTACTGTATAGAAGCAGTCTTAATGACAGTTGAGTTTGGCAGAGGCATCCTGGCTTCTGCTTTTTAGCCAGAATTCAGGAGTGTGTAGCATTATCCCTCCCCTGTGTGGCTAGTTATTTCCCAGCTGTGCTGACATGGAGCGGTCAGGAAACTGGAAAATTGAATGACAGATACTTTCCGTAATTTTCCTTTCTGGTGGGCTCCATGTCGGCACAATTCCCACCCAGCTTGGTAGGACTAGTTACAGAACACTGAGGTTGCAGGTGGGCTAAAATTTATAAGTTAAGTACTGGAAGCATGGGGGTGGCGGGGCCCTTACCCAGCTGTGCTGATATAGAGCTCGTCAGGAAAGGAAAATTACGGTAAGTATCTGTCATTCAATTTTCCGT